CCTGACACATCCCTCTTTGTTCGCATGCACAGACACCCAGGTTCCCGCACTGAACCTCCAGCCCATGGGAGGGCCAAGTACCCCCTCCAATATAGAGCTGTGCAAACACATTGTTTCCAACCCCCCCCCCCCCCAGTTCAGATGAGAAAGTTGATAGGTTTTATCATCTGGCGCCGTCTTGAGTTGCTTGCCTTGAAAGTGAGAAGAGAGATTCCTGAGAGAAATGGAACACCCATTCCGTGAGAGGGGTAGATATTACGGGGAAGGCTCACTTTACAATCAAAACAAACTCACGGGTCCTGATGCCACTCGTCATAAAACAGTAAGCTGACTCGGTAGTTAATGAAGACTGCAGAGCCCAGCCTGACTGGAAACTCAAAACATTCACTTCTCAGAAACAGTGAAAACCAACTTCCCCCATACACCGCCATGCCCCTCACTAGGCCTTGTCATGGGAGGAGTAAAAGGCCCCGGGGGCATCCCCTCAGCTCAGTCTCTCAAGGGGATCAGGAGATGGAGCCCTAACTAACTCCATGGCCAACTCAGTGACGGTGACAATGGACTGTGAACCAGCGCTCTAGGCAGCATGGCGGCACTCTGCACATTGCATGAAGTGTGATGGTGACTTCCGGTTCTCCCACATGAGCCCACAACCATCCTTCCTTCCCCATGCCCCTGTCTTCCAGCATTCCCATCACCCAACCCTGTCTTTCCTCTTCTCTGGCCCGATGACACTTCCTGTAAGATGTCCTGAGGTTGCCTAGCACCGTGAAGAGTATTGCGCTGCGTACCGCCAGCCCAGTTAAAAAAAAAAATCCAAACCCGGAAAGCTCAGCTTCTGCTCAAAAGCGTATGGCTTTTGCACCATCACAAAGCAGGAGGAAACGCAAGCTGAGCTGTCGTAAAGGCAGGGACCCACAGAACACTGAGTAATTGATGGATCTGTACGGTAGGTTCTTGCATATGGTGAGAGTTTGGGGTCTACCACGGTCTATGCAGCACAGTAAACACACACGCTTGGCATAGGCCCCACTCAGTCCTTAGCACTCACCAACATCGCAGAGCAAGAAATTGTTGCCCTGGGCCCAGGGTCACACGGCTCACCAGAGAGGCAGCTGGGACGTCAGTCTGCACCCGCTAATCACCAGTGCTCCCCCCCCCCACTTCACGCTTGACACTGCAAGTGCAGACTCTAGCTTAGCTTCTGCTATCATTCTGGAGCACACATCTTAGACTGAAAGTCACTGGCCTTAAAAATGACATGGATGCTACATTTGGATGGACTTTTCCATTCCCTCCCAGGCCTACACACACACACACACACACACACACACACACACCCCTTCCAAATCCTAAACACATTTGGCTAGTTAGTCTGCTGCCAAGGGGAGGATAAGATAAACAAAGATTGTGGAAAAGGTTTGCCCAGTAATGCAGAGTCACATGACGGGCAAGCAGGTTAGGGGGTGACCTAGCGCATATGAGGAATAGATAGGCCAGAAGTCTAGCAGGGGCCTACAGGCTGGATACTATCAGGCGGCATATTTTCTTTGGCTTGTCTGACACTCAGAAAACATTTTAATTAGCTGCCGAAGTAACATGAAAATGAAGTTCTGGTTTTTATTGAAAAAATAAAATCCGGCAGCACCAGTTAACATTCCCACTTGGGTTACTGGGCTACTGAAGTGGCTGACCCGTGGGTGACATGGGGACCCTCGGTCTCCCATAGAATCTACCCTTTTCTCTTCCACACCTGGACACCCCCACCTATGCTCACACTCACCTTGCCCAGATCCTTCCACCCTCCAGGAGCCCAGGGATGAGGTGCTGGCTGGTGTGCACCAAGGAGCTCTACCTCAGGACTTGCATCTGTCAGGGCGCTTCAGCGACTTCCTGGCACCAGCGCCTAGTCCTCTGTGCCCGAGGGCACTGTTTCCAGAACCACGGAGGTCATGCTGGCATGCACACGGTAGCTCTGGTGCATTGGGAAATGGCCTCCCAGGAGGTCTCCTCCCTAATCCTTAGACCAGTGACCCTCAACCTTCCTAATGCTGAGACCCTTTAATACAGTTCCTCCTGTTGTGCTGACCCCAACCATAAAACTATTTTCATTGCCACCTCATAACTGTAATTTTGCCACTGTTATGAATCATGATGTAAATATCTGTGTTTTCCAATGACCTGTGAAAGGGTCCCTGGACCCTAAGGGGCTATGGCCCACAGGTTGAGAATCACTTGCCTTAGAGAGTATGAACTTCTGCCTTTTCATCCCGAGGGTCTATTTATGTCCATACTATGTCCAGAGTGGGAAGACCAAGCCCCTCACCTACCACAGTAGGCGGCTTAACCGCCTTCTTTTCCTTTCCTCTCTCTCATCTTCCAGAAAGACTCAGTGTCCTCAGCTGCTGGCCTCCAGGTTGGCATCTGGGAGGCATAAAGCGAGATGGCATCTCACAGCGTGAGAGCCCTGAGAGCCATGGTCTGTGTCAGTCACTCCTCTGTTGCCAAGACAAAAAGCCATGGCTGCAAGCGGTTGAGAAAGGCAGGGTTAATTTTGACTTATGGTTCCAGAGGGAGAGAGTCTATCATGGTGGGGAGGGCTTGGGGACAGGAAGCAGGAGCAGGAAGCTGGCTGATCGCATTGTCATCCACACCCAGGAAGCAGAGGAAATGAACAGGAAACAGGGTGCAGACATAATCCTTCAAACCTCACCCCCAGTGAGACACTTTCTTCAGCAAGGCTGTACCTCTTAAATGTTCCCTGACCTCCCCCAAAGACCACCTCCCACCGAGGACCCAGTGTCAAATACCTGAGGCTTATGGCAAACGTTTTTCACTCAGACGTGGTAGACGATAAAATGTCCTGCCTAGATTCGTGTGCTAAAAGGCTGGACCCTGGCTGGTGACTGTTTACTTTGGAGGTGGGGCATGAGGGAGGTCATGGGGGGGTGTGCCTTTCAGGTGGTGCCTGTCCACTCTCACTTCCTAACTCTCTGCTTCTCCCCCCTTTTCTAGAGGCACTGAGGTTCCCGGGTTCTCAGAGACCTGCGAAGACCAAGCCCACGCAGTCACTACTCAAAGCACTCTTCTTCCATTCTTTGTCTCAGCTCCTTCTTTAAAGTTTTATTTTTTTATTTTATGTGTATCGCTGTTTTGCCTGCATTTATGTCCGTGTGAGGGTGTCAGATCTTGGAGTTACAGGCAGTTGTGAGTTGCCACCATGGGGGAGCTGGGAGTTGAACCTGGGTCCTCTGGAAGAGCAGCCAGTGCTCTTAGCCACTGAGCCATCTCTCCAGCCCTGGCTCAGCTCCTTGCTCCTACACAATGCCTCATGAGGGTACTACCTAAGCAAAAGCAAATGTTCTGGATGACTTACTTTTTTTTCTCTGCTAATAATCTTTTAAATTTTATTTCATCTTGAATTAGGCTTCTCTTGGTTTTGCATTTCAGGATCTTTGTATAAGATTCATGCAGGGCCTAGTAAAGTCTATGCATTGTCCATGTGGCAGAATGGGTGACTTCCCTTTGGTCACCCATCACTCCCTACCCCCCGGCAATTAGAGCTGAGCCAGACCATTTATATCCCAGTTGAACCTTGAGGAATGATTGTCACGGGGGGGGGGGGGGCATCCTTGTTTCTGTCACGTTGACCATCTGCTCTTCTGGTTGGTCCAAAGAGATGCCTGGTGTCTCTACACCCTTCCCTAGTCTCACACTAATGCTTACAGCATCACAGGGAGCCAGGCCATCTTGTCAGCTTTTGGCCAGAATGAAGCCTAAGATTCTCTAGTCCAAAGGTCTTATAGGTTACGGGGACTCAATGGTAAAGGGTCAACCTGACCAGGTATGATAGCTATTGACTCATTCCTGTGGCCTTCTCAAGTATACTGTCCTCCAGTGACCACAGCCCTTGTCTACCTTCTCAAGTATACTGTCCTCCACTGACCACAGCCCTTGTCTACCTTCTCAAGTATACTGTCCTCCACTGACCACAGCCCTTGTCTACCTTCTCAAGTATGCTGTCCTCCACTGACCACAGCCCTTGTCTACCTTCTCAAGTATACTGTCCTCCACTGACCACAGCCCTTGTCTACCTTCTCAAGTATACTGTCCTCCACTGACCACAGCCCTTGTCTACCTTCTCAAGTATGCTGTCCTCCACTGACCACAGCCCTTGTCTAGAACTCATGGGTGACTAACTCATCACACTGTCTTTGACAACCTCAATGGGCAGTATAAATGCCCGAACAAATGTGTCCCTCAGGATGCCATGAGCTGACCAACTCACTGAATCCAACACTGCCAACAGGGAAAAGCGTCAAACATCTGAGCATCAGTCACCAGAACGACTAGGTAGAATGGGGTCTATCCTGCCCAGGCCTGCTCCTCCTCCCTCACAGGAGTGGGGACACCCAGGGGCATCAGGGAGACAGAGAAAGCAACAGTTCCTTCTTTCCTTTGGAATCATGCTCTATGGACTGTAACTCATTTGAATAAATGAACTGGATCTACAAAAGCTCACTCAATTCCTGAAAATCTTCGAATTTCCTCAATCCCCTCGAACATGGCAGGGATAAATATAAAATTCGGCAAAGAGTCAGCTGACACACATGCCCATGTAACAGAAAGCATGGGATGTATTGTTAGTGACCAGAATTATGACAAGAAGGGATCCATCCATATTTATTTTTCACAACTACTGACACCAAACTCAAATTTCATAGATGGAAAAAACAGCTGTATCTGCTCAGAGAGGGTTAGTCCACAGGGAGAAGGAACGGAACACAACATAAGGTAGGTACTCTCCAAGGCATGTATTCATGGCTGACACTTCAGCTGTACCAGCAACCTTCTTAGTCCAGGACAAAAGCTGATCTCTAGTAATTCCAAGTTCCTTATAAGGGAGTGGCCTTTGTAGAATCTTTGCCCAACCCACGCTACAAAGCAAGTCAGCAGGCGTGTGAGACAGAGTGGCTTCCTCTCAGGGGAGCTCTCCTTACCTTCTGCCACATGTTGATGAAGAAGAGTTCCCGGGAAACGTTGAAGGACACATTGGCATCATAGGCATCGTCCCCAAGGTTGGAGATGGAGATGTTTAGAGAGATATTCTTCACAGCCCCCAAAGCTAGGTATGGGGTTTTCTCATCAACACTGCAAAGAAAAACAAACAGCGATTAGTACCCTTACACTTACAGTAAGACAACAGGAGGCACCGGTAGGTAGTGGGGAGGTGTTGGGAAGTGGGAACCCCCACTCTCAGGAGCCCCATCCACTAGGAACATGGAACTGGGGAACCAGCACCCATGGTTCTCAGGGTTTTGTCGTTGTTTTTGTTTTTCTTTTGCTTAGAACAAGGACTCCTACACCTTCGAACTTACTAGATGGTCACATGTCTTACAACAACACTTCATACATCAAAGTTGGAAATTCTGAAGACATTTAAAAAACTTTGTGTGACATTTGTCCATTCAGTTCTTTTGAGCAGACTCTGTAATTTTGTCATCATAGATGTGATGTTTAGTATTGACTGTCCGTGTGACAGACTCTAGAATTTCCTGGGAGATGGCCTCTGGGCACGCCTGTATAGGGTGTTAACGGATGCAGGAAGATACTTCTTATTGCAGACTGAGACAGCTTGAACTGCAGACTCTGAAACATGGCATGGACTGCAGACTCTGAGAGCTCAGTCCAGTGTCCATCTCTGCTTCCTAATGCAGATGCAATGAGCCATTGCTCTTAAACTGCTCTGACTTCCCGCCATGACCGACTATAACCTAGAAGTATAAGGTAAATGCTCACTGCTGTGACTTCCTGCCATGACCAACTGTGACCTGGAAGTGTAAGCCAAAATATATTCCTTCCCCCTTGAGCTTCTTTGGCTAGAGAATTTTATCCTAACAACAGGAAAAGAAATTAAGAGCCTGGAAACAGTAGCATGTAACGCCAAGGAGTTAGAAAATGTGCATGCGAAGCAAATATTCATAACTCGCTGGGGAAACACGGGAGGTAGGAAGTAGCTGATGTGTAGGAGAGGCTACAGTTTGGAATACAGTAGTCAGGGAAGCCTCAGTGAGGAAGAGGCTTCTCACTAGACAGCAGGATACCAGGGAGGGTCCCTGAGGTGGGCACAGGGCTGGCATGGTCAAGGAAGAGAAGGAGGCCAGAGAGGACTGAGCAGGTCAAGAGGAAATGAGCTCAGAGACATAAAGAACACGAGACTGGCAGATTCTGTAGGTCCTAGCGTGTCACCATCAAGACCGTGGTGTAAATGCGACACGGATGGAAGCCCCTGCCAGCTCTGAGCCGAGAAGTAATGACTCTCGGCGGGGGGTGGGCGTGTATCAGGAGGAGGCTCCTGCTGGATGTGATGGAAATGGTGTGTGGGGAACTCTTGAGAGAAGTTGGGTGAGGAGGCTCCTGCAGTAAGTCAGGTGGGAGGAGGTGAAAGGTCAGGCCAGGCAGGTGCAGCTGAAGTATGGAGAAGAGCCATGTTGGAGACGTTTCTAAGGTCGTGCCAACCCTAGATTTGTCTCATGAATAAGATGAGGGATGTTGGCGATTCGATAACTGCATTTAGGGCTGCCATTTAGTGGGATGGTAACGACTTTAGACAGAGAAGGCTTGGGAGAGACAAACCAGGTGCCTGCTGCATTTTATGGGAACCCAGAGACCGATTGACACACGAGCTGGGAGTCCGAAGAGGCGTATGGGTTGGAGATCCACATGTGGGATAGGTATCAAGGACATGAGAGAGTGAGCATAGAAGGAGTCATGCTTTCTCGTTTAGAATCTGAAGAGATGGGACAGGTGTAGCAGGTGTGGAAGAAGAAAACCAGGGGAGGTGGCACCGAGTGGCCACATGAGGCTCTTTCCGAGGGAGGAATGTCAGGTTTGTCCAGCATGGCAGACAGGTCAAAACAGCACAAGGGATTAGAACTGGTTATTGAAACTAATTGTGTGGAACAGGGTTTCTTAGACTTTGTCTGCTTGTGACCTCTTTGAGCCTCTCCTGGTTTCATTTCCACTGCTGTGATAAAATAACCCAATAGAGCAGCTTACAGGACAAAGGGTTTATTTCAGGTCACAATTTTAGGTTGTAGTATGTTGTGTCAGGGAAGTCAATATGGAAGAAAACTTAGAATACCTAGATACAGCACCTCCTCAGCCAACAGCAGAGAGATAAATAAATGGTTATTATGCAGCTCATGTTCTCTCTTACACAGCCCTGGACCTAAACCCAGAAAATGGTGCCACCCACAGTGGGCTGGGTCTTCCCAGTCAATCAATGTTATCAAGACAGTCCTCCACAGACATGCCTACAGGCCAACCTGATCTAGACAAACCCTCACTTTCTTCCCAGATGATTCTAAATTAACAATTAAAACTAGTCAGTACAGTGTCTGAGAAGTTTTACATGAAGCAATTATATAGACCAAACATTCATTAGTAACAAACCATAAATCTGTTTTAAGATCACTCTTTTGTATACATATAAATAAATATTTATAGAAGACTAAGGCAAGTTTGTACACTAATGACATGGGTATGATTATCTGCGTAGCATAACAATCCATGTACATGCTATTTTGTGCTGCTTATATACTCATGGGTATGGGGCCACGAAGTAGATCAGTGGGTCATTAAAAAAGAGAACATGAACTTGGGAGGGGTTGGGGAGGTAAGGGTATGTCTGGGAAGATTTCAGAGAGGAGGCGGTAACTATGATCAAAATACATTGCACACATGTATGAAGGACTCAAAGGATAAAGATATTATTTAAAACAGATTAAAATATAGTCATTTGACACATAAATGGTAGAAACTTATTTAAAAACCCTTGTTTTCTGTAATTGAATCATTGTTTCTATAAAAGCAGAAAAGATGGCGTGTGTAGTACAAAGGCCACGGTCTGAAGGAGAGTGGCCTCAACTGTAAGCATGGACATTCAGGAAGCATTCTTTGGGGTGATGACATGTTCGGTATGAAGTTCGGAATGGTGGGTCTACAGAACAGTTATGTGGGGCAGTGTCCGTGAGCACTGCCGGCGACATCTCAAATCTGAATTAAATTGCAGTTTTTGTGAGTTCAGAAACCTACCACTGGCAGGGCTTTGTAGTTCCCCACGTTGAGCTCTCAAAAACCCAACTGGTTTATGACCCACAGTTGAAGAAGCTTTGATGTAAACAGAGATCACTGGTGACCTTGGGCATTCCATGGGTGAATCATGGCAGAAAGTCTGATTGGACCAAGAGGGAGTACATTAGAAGAGTGACTACAGGTGGGTACCAGGAGCTGTTTCTTTCAGTAGAGTAGAGAAACAGGATGGAAGCTACCAGGGAAGTGGCCTGTGGAGACGATTTTTTTAAAGGATGGGAATTGTCATAGAGCATTTGCACACGAATGGGAAAGAGCCATCGAATGAACACACGTGATGGGGGGGGGGTAATTGCTGGTAGGACCTGGAAAGGTTGGGGCTGAGTGAGCAGAGCGTGGGCCATAGCTGCTGAGTGTGGGGAGTGAATTCAGACTCCTTTGTAACTGGTGGCATTTGGCATTGGAGGTGAAACAGGGTCAGAGATGGAGAGGAGATGAAGGGGGAGACGTTGGGTTGTGAGCAGGGGAGTGAATGGGCCAAGGGTGATAACGATGGGGATGAAGGGAATAGCAAAGATGGGTACCAAGCCATAAGAGCTCTGGGAAAAATCAAGTCACTCCCGTGGGAGAGGAGGAGAAGCCTCTGAGAGTTTGTGCAGGGAACAGTTGTTACTTGTGGCTGTTTGGTTCAAAGACTCTGTGATAAATGTGAAGAGCTCATCAACAGATGGGGGCGGGCACCCCTCATGGTCTCTAAGCTTCGGGAACCTGATTAAGCAGTTTTGCCATCTAGGCATGTTCAGGAGTCCTTACCTTGGTGATAATGTCCCAACCACAGCTCTGAGGGTGTCACAAGGACATTATGGTCCCCGTGACTGTCTGAGGTGGCTTCAGAAGTCGCTTCCTCAAGCTAAACCTTGCCTCCCTTGTTTCCTGTTGAAGTTGGTCGCCCCCTCGGAGCCCCTTTGAAGCTTCCTGTAAACCAGCTCGTATCTTTCCAATAAACTAGACTTAAATTAGCCAGCATATGTCATGTCGTCTGCAGCAATTAACACAGCTGATACAGCGTGCAAGAGAAGAGGGGTTTTCAAACACTCAATAGGCTACTGGTCTTTGGAATATAGATTTTGAGGGAAGGAACCGTCATTATCCATCTCCAGAAAGTAGCCCCCCACTCTAGCGTGTCTGGCATGCCAACAAGAAAAACATGCTCAACAAGAAATCTGATGGCCTTGCTTTGGAAGCAAGCGCTCCAGGGATCCAAACAAGATGTGAAAAATTAACTTAGAGAAGGGTTTTAAATTCTTGAATGGTCTCCAATGAATTAAGACCTTGACCTCAAGCTATTGTGGCAATTATTTATTATTGTTGGCCACTCCAGTCCTAAACAATTGTTGGGTTATTTCTGTCTCCATTCGCTTTTGTAACATGAAAGGAGGAATCCTCAGACCTTGAATTAGGAGACAGCACTAACCCAGCTAAATCGAGAGGACATGTGCACATGTTCACAGATGACCAGTCACCTCAGAGAGACCGGGATATTAGGCAGAGAGACCACACAGGTGGGCACAGCGCCACAGGCTAGAGAACATTTGCCTCCTGTCAGTGTCGTAGTTCACAAGACTAGTCTCTCTCTTTCTCTCATGTATAAATGCCAAGGAATCAGGCCAGGGACATCTGAACTTATTCCAGGCCCCCACAACGTGGCCCTCTGCCACTTTATCACGCAGTAAGGTCATTCCTGGGTTTGCATAGTCAAATGATTCCAATGTGGTTCAGTGGTTAAGGAAAGCCAGGCACCTTCTAGGGTAGAATGCGAACTCAAAAATTTTTAAAAGAAACCTCAAAGTTGTTTTCATTCTTTCTCTAGAGCTAAAACTCTATAACCAAAACAGTAGGTTGCTGCTCCCTAAGTTATTCTTAGAAATGAAACGAAAATACAGTTTGCTAGCAGGGGGCCGGGTACTGTCAAACAAGCCTTTCTGAAACTTCACAGGAACTGACGAGAGAGACACTTTCAGAGATGAGGACATCATGAAGCAGACAGCTCAGGAGGT